AAAAAAAAAACCTGTTCTAAAAACTTTTCTTCATCTATTTAGAAGGCTTATAACCACAATTTGTTTAAGCAGACAGCTGTTAAATAAGGAAAAAAGTTCTTTTAAAAAGGGAAAGAAACTGGGTTAAAAAAACATTTCTTTTTCAAAAGTATAACAACGGTACAGTAGCTTAGACAATTTTTTTTTTTGCTAAAAAGTTTTTTTGCCCTAATTTTTTTAATTTATAAACTAGTTTTCCTGTCAAATTGCTCTCTAAAATATAGTTTTTTCTTTTTTTATAAGTATTTAACAAATGAAATAGAATTGAAAATTAAAGTACCATCACAAAATTCAATGTAATAATCATAACAATAATGCAGAATGAACATTTAGTGGTAGTTGATGAATAAGCACAAAAAATGATTACTGCTTGATTTAGGCAACAATAATAATAATAATAATAATAGTAATAATAATAATAGTAATAATAATAATAAAAATTCTGCTTAGAAGTTATTTAATTAGGTTATTGTATTTTTTTTTACTGTTACCTGTGATCAGCAACTGCAATTTATAAGTGCAGCAATTGTCCAGTATCAATCAGTTTAAACAGATAGCTGATTGTACCAAATCTTTACAAAAATACTGTATTATATATTGCAGCATATGGGAGCTGATACGGCTGAAGCTAAACGTAACATCATGAAAGCAGCAGAGAAGGAGTTCAACGCCAAATTTAATGTTATCTGCTCGAAGGCAGACTTCTCCTATGTTGCACATACCAACACATTCTGCCAGCTGACAAACACAGAAATCACTTGTTATGCATTCCGAGCATTCTAGAAGGCAACAAGGAACTAAGAACAAGAAAAAAAAAAGGCAGAAAACGACCTGATAAAACAGTTCTATTTCTTCTGTTTCATCTTTCGTTTCCAACTGTTTTTTACTTCAGATCTATATATGTGTGTTTGTGTGTGCGTTATGTGACTATCATATATATTTTTTCATCAATTTTTGTTTGTTTTGCTCTTTAGCTGCTCTCCAGTTAACATCTTTCATCAAATTTTTCTTTATTCATTTTTTTCCCTTCTTGCAGTTAACATCTTTAACAAGAAAACAAAGTTTCCTCATTTTTTATGCTTAAACATCAGTATTATTACGGAATTTATTAGTCAGTTGATATCACTTACCCGTAGCCGACATATCAGCTGTGTTATCTTTGTTGCCAATTTTTTTCCTCTTTTTTTCGTAATTCTCTTTTTTTTTGTCTTCCTCATCTTTTTTCTATCCTATCTGCTCGTACACATCGTTAAATTGA